GAGCTACCTGTAAGTGCCGAGCTGCCCCTAAGTGGCGAGCTCTTCGTAAGACGCCAGGCTGCCTACGGAGTGGCCAACTACTTGTGGCGAGCTGCCTATGCCGAGCTACCTGTAAGTGCCGAGCTGCCCCTAAGTGGCGAGCTCTTCGTAAGACGCCAGGTTGCCTGCGGAGTGACCAGCTGCCTGTGGCGTGCTGCCTATGCCGAGCTGCCCCTAGCTATACCGAGCTCCCCGAGCTGTGCCGAGCTGCCTGTGGTGAGCCATGCTGAGCTGTCTGTAAGTGGCAAGCTGTGGCAATCTCTGCCGAGCTGCCCGAGCTTCCCGAGCTGCCCAGTTGTCAAGAGGCTGCACTTGGTTTACATGAGGTGCCAGGTGTCACAATTTCACTGGAGGGCCAAATCCGCCCTCATCATTTGCCCCCCACTCCCGAGCTGAGAGTAACTCAGCGAAGGGGGTAGATTTCTTCTTTTGGCCCGTAAGTCGATGAGCTAGTATGTGCTGATCCAATTCCTTAGGCTTTGGGAGCTGCCTGTATGTGGTGAGCTGCCTGTAAGGTGAGGAGGTCTCCGCCAGTTCAGTAGTGTAGCCCTTAGGCTMTGGGGGCAACTTATAGTTCACTTTTGCTGATTTTGCTCATGTTGAGGAAGCGACTAGGTATTTAGCAATAGTGTGGCCCATAGGCTTTGGGAGCGACTCGTAGTCCACTCTTCTTGACTTTTCCCATGCCGAAGAGGCGACTGGGTTTTAAGCAGTAATGTGGCCCGTAGGCTTTGGGAGGGACTCGTAGACCACTCTTCTTTGACTTTGCCCGTGCCGAAGAGGCGACTGGGTCTTAAGTAGTAATGTGGCCCGTAGGCTTTTGGGAGTGACTCGTTGTCCACTCTTTTTTTTTGACTTTGCCCGTGCCGAAGAGGCGACTGGGTCTTAAGCAGTAATGTGGCCCGTAGGCTTTGCCTGTGAGGTGCCGAACAAACCAGGTGTCAAGCCGCCTGCGAGGTGCCGAATTGACCAGGTGTTGAGCCGCCTGCGAGGTGCCGAGCTACCAGTGAGTTGCCGAGCTGACCAGGTGCCGAGCTACCTGTAAGGTGCCGAGCCGATTAGGTGGGTGCCTTAGAGCTATGATTGCGCTGCATCAGCTTCATAATGCCGGTCACCCACTCCTACAAGAAGCTACTAGGAGCTCGATCTTCGGGGGTAGCACTACTAACTTTTAGGTCGCCAGCTCACACGGGAGCCTTGGAAGGCTCGACCAGTAAAGGCGCCTATGTAGTCAGTTGGCCGCCAACTCCCGCGGAAGCCACGAAGAGCTCATCTTTGTAGGGGGAACCTTGCGAAGAGGACTGATGAGGCTTTAACCGAATTGAAAGTAAACTTAGTCTGTTAGCTCCCTGCGTAGTCTTTGAGTTCATAAAAAATGTAAACTATAAAGCGAGAGCTTCAATTTCTAAAAGTGAGGACTTAGCTTTCCAGGAGAAAAGGACTTAGCTTTTGTAGGATGAGAACTTAGCTTTTTGTAGCATTTTCCCACAGACGGCGCCAATTGATGTAGCGCGATCCGGTCACTCCTAGCTGGCACTCGCACGGCTCCTGAGGGGTACCTGAGACGAGAAGGAAGAAGAACTCCTGGGGGGTTTGCCCGATGGGAACACTCCGATGATTAAGTCAGTATTCTGTGTGAGAAGCAAAGGGAAAACGAAGGCTAAGAGTGCAGATTGCGCAGGTGGTTCGAAGATACCTTGTTCCTTGAGAGTCAGCTTCTTATAACAGAATTCCGTTGCTTCAGGCCCTCCTCTGGCTTCGGACAGGGCAGGCATAACCGCCACTGTCAGTTTGCCACAACCGTTACAGACAAGGCTGAGGTGGCATGCGCTGGGCCGTCGTTGCAGGGTACGTTCCTGTCAGGTGCGAGACACCTTATAAAGGTGACAGGCGCGACGCTATCTGACGAGGGACATGGCTGTTGTCCCCAGATTTGACGAGGGACATGGCTGTTGTCCCCAGATTTGTCGGGTACGGTGGTCGAGCAGGAGGCCTTCCTGTGGTGTACCGAACTACCCTTCCGCGAATTACCTTGCGCCGGGCTGTCTCTTGAGTGACGAGCTGCCTGTAGCAAGTTATGCTGAGCTGGCTGACCCGAGGTGTCTATGCCTCAGGGTGTCCAGAGATGGATCGGTGCGTTCCTGTCTGGGAGTGGCCCGAAGTCCATTGGGAGGAGCTTGGGCCTCAAGAGAGGTCAGGGTGCCCCGAACTCGGGGCGCCTCGAAGTGCCTTAACCCCGGGGAGGAGGTGCAGGTAAGGCGGCTCCCGGTGAGTAGTTTATCCGCCCAGTTGTCGAGCTGAACTCGGTGGGACCTTCCCTCCGAGTTGTGGTCACGTCCGTTGCGCTGTCATGCTGAGTCACTGTTTGAGCAAGGTCACGTTCGCGTGTACCCGTGCTGCGAGGTCGGGCCAAATCACCCTCCATCAGGTGTTATGGTCAAATATCTCATGTGGTCACATGGATACTAGCCCTCCAACATACTTTGCCACATTTTCCCAACTAGTGCCCTCTCCATTGTCTTAGCAATCAAAACTTCCTCGGAACATCCACTGCAAACCAACCAACCCCAGTAAGAAATGCCAGAGCTTCCTGGAGTTGGTTGGTCGGTTTGCAACCATCCACTGCAACCCAGTGTGTCTCATGCTTGTCAATCTGTACTCTAAACCAATTAACCATACTTAAATTTTTGGTGGGCTACGTTAAACTTTCCTAATAATTTTCCAAGGGATCTTTTCCTAGGTTTGTAAGAGAACTATATGAATTTCTTCTAAAATTTTGGGGGACGATGGCCCCTACTCTGTCCCCACCTTGATTCTTTCCCTGTTCTTTATGTATTTGAGGAAATATTAATTTCTTTTCCCTTTTTCTTTTTTCCTGAAACCTCAGAAGAATATCAATTCATTCACCATCAGCTTAGTTAATCATACAACATTCTTTGACATCATGGGTGATAATAAGGATTTTTTCCTTGGAATTGTTTCTTTGTACTTTCTTTATTTTGCATTGCATATTCTAGTGCATATTTTCTTATAGAAAGATACTCTGAAAGAAGTTACAAATAGATAAGAGAAGATTGGAAATTTGAAAATTTGTCTTCTCTGATTTCTATTAATCTTTTTCTTATTTGTATTATTCTGATATGCGGTTCATTGTTGCTTCTTTCTGAAGAAGTTATGTTGCCATATCACTTAGGTCTTCGTCTTTACATTTTTTATTTTCATACCAGGTTGGATTTCCTTCAGTTGTATTATTGATGTTAACATGATTTGGCAGGTGTTATGCCTGACAACTTCACTTTTGGAAGTGTTCTAAGAGCTTGTGATAGAGGTAAAGATCTTATGAAGGTTAACCGGATTCATGGTTTCATTATCCAACTGGGTTTTAGATATCATGAAGTGGTGATTGGATCATTGATTGATGCTTATGCAAGATGCGGAAGTGTGAGAAATGCAAGGTTTCTTTATGATTCTATGGCAGAAAAAGATCTGATCTCTTGTACTGCACTGATAACTGGATATGCACGTGAGAGATGTACCACTGATGCCTTGGATCTCTTTAATGAAATAAATCGGATGCACATGAGAATGGATAAGGTCATCCTTTGTTCCATGTTTAATATATGCGCTAATATAGCATCCTTGAGCTTATCAAGACAATTTCATGCCTTTGCTTTAAAGAATCAACCCAACTATGATACAGCAATGGGTAATGCTCTCATAGACATGTATGCTAAATCAGGAGAAATTGAAGATGCTAACCATGCTTTTGAGGAGATGCAGGGAAAAAATGTTATTTCATGGACTTCATTGATTGCTGGATATGGGAAACATGGATATGGAGAAAAGGCTATTACACTTTTTCAGAAGATGGAAGGTAGTGAGCTGAAGCCTAATGATGTGACATTTTTGGCTCTTCTCTTTGCTTGTAGCCATAGTGGATTGATCAGTGAAGGATATCAGTTCTTTGATTTTATGGTTAACAAATACAACATTAATCCTAGAGGTGAACATTATGCTTGCCTGGTTGACCTTTTTGCACGTGGAGGCAAGTTAGAAAAGGCTTATGATCTGGTGCTGAAGATGAATGTTACACCTAATGCCTCACTTTGGGGTTCTATTCTAGGGGCATGTAGAGTATATGACAATATGTCTCTTGGTGAAGTAGCAGCCAGGCATCTATTTAATTTAGCCCCCCAGGATGCAGTCAACTATGTTGTTCTATCGAGTATATATGCCATAGCTGGTTCTTGGAAGGATGCTTGGAAGACATGGAAATTGATGAAAGATAAGGGTATAGAAAAGGATCCAGGATGCTGCATTATTCAATGCACAAAATAGGAATTTGGATTCTTCTAGAGGAGAAATGAAGAATATAATTGTTTCCATCGAACAATATTCCTTAGAGAATATAAAGGATTTATGTGGCTCAAGCCATGGAGGATGCATCCAAGGAGTAGTGAGATGGCTTAATTTATTTCCTGTATTCCATGAGGATGA